TGGTGACTATTAACTCCCATACTGATGTTTGAGATTTTGATTAAATGAAATTTCTCTCTCTCTCTCTCTCTCTCTCTCTCTCTCTCTCTCTCTCTCTCTCTCTCTCTCACACACACACACACAGGAACATCCACATACACATGTGTGACTGCCACACCATTCATACACATGCCAAACATCCTGATTATGTTTACTCGGGAGCAGGGGAGCCTTGCAATGGGAAAACGTGTTCCTTAAGACCCAATGAGCATATTCAAGGAGGCTGAAACAAGAAATGATGAAAAACAAAGTGAGAAGGATTATATAAGACTTTGGAAATGAAGCTGTGGTTGCAAGAATCAGTAACAAGGGTAGCATCTGTCCAAGGTTAAAGACACAATAGTGAGTAGCTGTCCTTGCAGGTATATCTTCTGCGGAAGGCTGAGTGGCTTTTGTGTGAGATTAGGGTCCTGGTAGAATCTTTGAGGACGGTTTTTGTTATCAGGCACATAGTACAAGGTCGACCTCCCCCATCAGAGCCTCCAGCTTTATGTTTCATTAGTGGATCTGGCTAAGGTTCAACAAAAATGGCTCCATTTTGCTTCTGATGAATTTTGCAGTTCAAGGATCTTACAAGAACCCACCTTCTCACTATCAGTATAGCTGGATTTAAGACAGAGATATTCGGGACACCCTTGATAGCCACTTATCTCCTTGTCTAAGAAAATGTACCAATAGCACCCCTAGTTAAAGGGGTTCTGCCTTTGGCCTTTCCCTCTTGCCTCTATCCTGGGTATGATCCATTCACCTAGAGAAACATCCTCTCCCGGAAGACCCTGACATGTTTCCACATAGCCCCATGCCTGCCACCACCTACTGTGTCCTGTAAGCTAGAACTATAAAAGCTGGTGTGCCCCAGTGTTCACTGGCACTACCCCTCTCGGACTGTCCAACCTGCTCGTCCTGCTGGGCTCCTTCCTCACTCTGGCCACTCCAGCTTGTGGCTCTTCTGTGTCTCTGACACTCTCAGCTCACACTCTGGCCAGGCAGCTCTGTAAACCCTGACCTTGAGGTCCAGGCCCTAGAGGGAGGCCATGCTTTGTGATGCAATACAGCACCTGTGATGGTGTCTAACAGCATCTGTGACCATGTCTCATAGCATCTGTGACATCTGTGACCATGCCTCATAGCGTCTGTGACCATCCATGTCTCCTAGCCTCTAGCCTTCGGCTCCATGTGTTTGGGCCAATAGCTTCTCCCTCCACTGTTCTACCAGACCTGGGCCTGAGAGGGAGGAAGCAGGCTGCACATGTCAGAAGGTCAAAGGCTGCTGTTGTGCTGCATTCAAGGGGCTGCACAGAACTGTTCCTAAAAACCTTGTACCTGGGCGTGATGACAACCTCATGGGAATAGGAAGTCTGGGAAAGAACTGACTTTCTGCCATAGATCACTGAAACTGAAGTTACCAGAGACCCAAAGTGTAGGAGGAAAGATCTCACAGGCTTCCATTCTGGGTATTCTTCCAGATCGTATTGCCACTGCCTTCCCTACTCTGCAATGTCCCGCCCTCCCACTTGCCAGTCTCATGTCCAAGGGCTTTCTGAGAATCTGAGTGGGGGGGGACTCAGTGTTACTCAACCTGGAGGCAGCACAGTGCCTCTCTGGACATAGTCGATGTTGCTGAAATTTACAGAAGCCAAAATGAGTTACAGAGCTGAGTGGGAACATGAGCTCTCAGGAACAGGTGAGAACACTGAGACAAAGCTACCATTTCTTAAGACGTCACACCAGCCACGAGTCAGTGCTCTCGTCAGTGGCTATCAGTGTCCATCAGGGTAGAACCGCTGTCATTTCCAGTTCCCATCACACACACACACACACACACACACACACACACACACACACACACCTGTCTCTAGTCATCTGCAGAAGGGTCACCCACTGTGAGCCAGGTCCCTGAGATAGAAGCAGAAAGGAATGCAGGTGACTGTTCCCTGGAAGATTATTTGCCTTCCTTCTGAGCATAGGAATGAGGGATTGGAGAAATTGCAGGATGAATGAATGGACCACATTTACAAACATGAAATGATAGAAAAATGAATGGATGAAACTTTGAAATAAACAATGAACTATTTCACAGAATCTACTCAATACTCTGAACCTGCAAGTGGGCTGATGATAATGACAATAAAGTTGTCATTGCTCATCACTAAGAATGGTATCTGTGGCCAATAGAAAACACAGAAAACCTTAAACACTGTTCAGGGATCCAGAATGTTCTGTGAGATGATTTTAATTGTGCTGGTTCGAAAAAGCTCTTAGACTACAAACAGTCACCCTATAGGAAAGGGGACTTTGGCTGCAGGTACACAGAGACTGCGGCCCCGCTTAAATCTTCGCACAGGTACTATTCATGATGGTGAACTGAGTTATCCATGGTAGAGTCTCCAAAATATAAGTGCAGCGCACCTGAAAAAAAGAGTTACAAAGCATAAATTAGAAAAGCACAATGCATTGAGGCTATCTAGATAGTAGGGACTCAATTTTCCCAAAACTAAATTTTAAAAAAGAAGGAAAGGAAAAGAAAGTTAAAATACATTAACCTAGAGAAGGACTCATAGAGCTCAAAGCTCCACCATGAGAAATGACAGATTGCAAAATCTGAGCCCACAGTCTCCCAAAAAAGCCCCTAGCTGGAACCATAACCCATCTTAAGTCTTTCTGTCCTCACAGCTTCCCTAACACATGCGGTGATAAATGAACCTCTGCCCCTTCCCAAGGGTCCTGAAAGTCAGGGAATGTCTTGATAAATGCTCTGTTTAGAAACTTCCCAACAGAACATACAAACATATCCCAAGTGAGGCTACTTGAAGGCTGTTAGTTGAAAAGTGAGACCACACCCTGATAGAATCCCCTGATGGGTAACCATACATAAGGTCCAAGTTCCCATGGATCACGTGTCAGCTATAGGATAAGGATGTCACCAAGAATCACCCTTAAGACCCTAAAGGAAGAGCCTGAGTGAGCAGACAAACAGTTCTCATTTTCCACCACAAAAAAAAAAAAAAAGAACAATGGAAGACTGAAGACCAAAGGGAAATCATGTTCCTCCAAAAGTCTCTGAAGGCATAGAACTGGAACCACAGGGAAGATTACATCATAGGTGGAGGCCACGTGGTTTCTGCAGGTTTTCTGTGAACAGTCAACAGGCAGAGGGCTGCCCCAGCCCTGGGCGATAGGCCCCGCCTGTTTAAGATGCATTCTTTCCCAAAAGACTGCTGGTAGAAGGGGTTAATTTAATCTCAAACCTTTTTCTCTCCTTGGCCCTCCTGCAATGGGCAATTGTCAATGTCTTCATCAAATTTCCTACAAATTGTCCGGCCCATCTCCAGGTCTATTAAAAACAGCAATGTATCTCTCTGTCAAGAAAGAATTAGAAAACAATTTGTCAGAATAAGTGAAAGAGAGCTCAATATAAAAGCAAGCAGAAAATGTGAAAGTTCAAGCAAGCAGCAATAAATAGCACATATCACATACAATCTTATTTCTCTGTTGTTTTATGGGGAGGAGAATGCTTGTTGTAGGTTTTTTCTTTGTTACTGTCATTTGGCATTTTTAGACAAGGTTGCTATAGCCCACGATGACATCCAACCTTCAATTCTAACTGCTCCTCAGCTTTGCAAGTGCTAGGGTTACAGATATGCTCTTTCTCAGCCTGTCTCTTTTTAATCCATTTTTTTTCAAAATTTTCTTTTAATTCTGCACAAAAGATATGTCCACTTACTTAGGGATATAGCTCAGTTGGAAAAGTGTGTACGTAGCATGTTCAAAGAAGAAAGTTTGAGACCCAGAGCTCCCAAATATCTATTAAGTACAACTAGGGTAAGCACCGAGTCTCCCCTCAGCCCTTTTCCCACTGGTAAATACCAAGTTGTCTCAGTGACGGGGTAGTGAACATCCAGGGTGCCACATATTCACACAAGCAAGTCCACAGCAAAGAACCTGTACATGGTGCAGCCACACCCAAGCCACTACGACAATTATCTGCTGAGGGGGTGATTCCTTGACCTAGAGTAGGACCCTGATGAGACAGCCTGCCTTGAGTGGACAGAGCATGGAACACAGCGGCCCATTTAAGATGTGTCTTTCGTGTAGGTGCTGTGTACATAGCGCACTCGTCTTGCAAGTACTTAAATGAAGTGGCTATTGGGTATCCCAATATTATTCTCAGTATCTATCAAAAATCCTATACAGGCTATTTCCTTATACAGAGATGTCTACTCAGACTGCTTCATTCCTTCCTCAAATCCTCCTGTTCTGCTTTTGCTGCCATTTGCTTGTTTATTTGATTGTGTTCCTAACCACTTAATTCAGGAAAAAAAAAAAGAAGAACCTTCTAGAGTCCTTCCTTGGCGGCACCATTTACTTTTCAGCCAGATCAGCACATACCACATCTGCTCCAAGACCTGCTTTGTGGTGGTCAAGGCACCATTCTCTCTAACATGGTCTGAAGCTTCTTGTTCAGCAGCAGTATGGGCCACTCCACTCAGTAAGCCTTCAATGAAAGACTTGGTAGTTCACCTGAAGAGCACCATCCAGTGGATTCCTCGTGCTCCCAGTTTGGCATCCTTACTGCCATACCCCGCTTCTGCACTCCTACATCTCAGTATTTCCTTCCCTAAGATACAGTCACGGAGTACAGCACATCCTACTAAGAGACTCAAGCCTCTTAAGTACATTGGCTCATCCTTCCCTAAGGGTCTTGCCAATGCACTTTCCCCGCCCACCCAAACAGCCATCACTTTCTTACCTTCTTCAGCTCCCAGGACCCTGTCACGGCTCTCACCCCACCTCATCCCATCTTACTCATGGGTCTGGGCCAGCTTTTGTCTTCGCCCAGCATAGCAGCATAGCAGTCTGAAAGAATGGTCCCCTGTCTGCTTCCTCAGCTGACTGCCTGAACATCATCTCTATCCAGCCTACATCCTCACCTTGCTGAGCAACGCCCAGCTCATCCAGCTCCCCAAGGGTACCTGTCACCCTGTCACACTTGCTGCCGACTGCCACTGTGTGGGGATCTGTTTCTTTTCGTTTCTGTGCCTGCCATTCTTACCACCTGTCTCTCTGCTGTTCTGGCTTCCCTCCGTCCTGATTCAATTCCCCCATTCTGAACTCAGATTGGCACATTGATGTCGCCCTCCTTCCTTGCTTTTCAGAGGCTGCACTCACTTTAAAATAAGCCCAAAATTCTGAGTTTTTCTAGCACTTTTGGGTATTTTTTTTAACATTTGACTGACAAATGAAAGCCTTGGTTTCGACTTACTGCAAACCCAAACAGCCCCCAGCCCTGCCAGGTATGAATGCAGGCGTCACAGAGGAAGCAGGCTACTCACCTGGCTCTGACTTCTCCGGACCCTCAGGAACTTGTAGGCAAAATTATCATCCTGATTTTCATTGAAGTGGAACACTACGTACTCCACAGAAATGCGGAAATCCTCATTGTTCTTGTTGATTTCTACAAATCTGAAGCTGCAATCACGAATCCCGATCACTATAAGCCCCACAAGCAGGACCACCTTCCACAACATGGCTGTCTTCAGTGTCTACACTGGGAGCCGAGGATGCCTGCATTGGTAGAGAGGTGGCGCAGCTGCAGATGGTGATGCCATTCCACACGGCCCCGCCCACCAGGGGCCACGAGGTGCTAAAGTCCTCATTTTGACTAGGGCAGCTGACTCTTGTCATCTCTACTCCTCCACCTTGTCCCTCCCTCCATCTGAAAGCAGAAGGTTGAAGAGGTCATATTTTCTACACCTTGGGGACATAAGCCACAGGCTTATCGGCATTCATGCAACTTACCCTTTGCCTACACATACCCAAGACTGCCTTCCCCAGCCTCGGCCCACTCTGATAAGAACTGATAGGAAGTTTGGGATTGTAAATCCAACTTGTTTACCGTTACTGCTCTAAATTTAAGGACTGGTAGGGCCACAGAAACTCTCATGAGGTAAAAGAGGTTTTAAGTATTGGGGGTTAAGAATCAAGGGCCCATGACTTTGGCGTCTCAGAGGAGCCCAGTGGGAGGGGTCAGAGGCAGGATTGGGAGATCATCTTCTCCACCATCTCTGCAGTATAGTGGCCAGTACATTACCTCTGCCTCCTTCTCTGACACCTGCCCTACGTGGGCTTTGCAACCCATGCACTAGGGAGAATCAGAAAGGGAGGCAGTGGGTTGTAGGGATGGACAAAAAAAGCAGACATGGGCCTTGAAGTTGACTGAACTCAGATAGAGGCACCTACTAATATATCCACACCCAGCTCTGCCACTTGGCCCTGTGCCAGACTTCTCAGGAAAAATACTCCACCTTCTGCCTTCCTTATGGAGAAACTGAAGAGATGGCAATAAGGCAGGGGAATGAGTAAGCCGAAAAGGCTTAAAAGTTGCCATCATGGGAAAGGACTTACGTTCAAATGGTCTTCCCTGCCATGGGATAACCGGATACTTGAACCTTCGTGATTCCAAAAATTGTCCCAGAACCTAACCATTACCGTGGGGACAGAGTGGGAGCAGAACTGTAACTCTAGCATAGAAAGGGACAGGACTGTGGACATGATTGGAAATACCTTCCTGCAGCTTCCAGGTGGGAGGAGATGATCTCACAAGAAGGCCTCATGAGGGACGCTGTCTTAGTTAGGTTTCTACTGCTGTAATAAGGCAGCATGACAAAAATCAATTTGAGGAGAAAAGGGTTTGTTTCATCTTATAGCTTGTCATCCATCATCCAGGGAAGCCAGGGAAGGGACCCAAAGCAGGAACCTGGAGGCAGGAACTGACTCAGATGCCATGTGTGAATGCTGCTCATGACTTTCTCGGCCTTCTTTTTCTACAACTCAGGACCACTTCACAGGGATGGCACCACCCACAGTGGGCTGGACCTTCCCAAGCCAATCATTGATCAATAAAATGCCCTATAGCTGGCTTGCCTACAGACCATCTAATGGAAACATTTTCTCAACTGAGGTTCTTCTTTACAGATAAATCTAGCTTGTGTCAAGTTGACAAAAAACAACCAAGACAGGTGGTAATGGTAAGGGTGTCTAAAAATGCAGATATCCTTCCCCCCACCCCGTAGTACTTCAAAGCATGCCTGAACCCCTTGCTTCCCCCCACCCCAACACAACACCATACATGCCAAGTACAATTTTTTAAAATAATAAGAGTGGATGCTGGAGAGATGGCTCAGTGATGAGAGTATTTGTTGCTCTTCCAAAGGACTGGAGTTTGGTTCTCAGCACCTTTGTCAGGTAGCTCTTCAGGCACTTGTGCTCATATGCATATAGCCACATACAGACACACACGTGCACACATAGACATACACACACAGACACATAGGTATAATTAAAATAATACAAAATAAAGTTATTTTTTTAAAAAAGTAAGAATGTTTTAACCATGTGTTTTTTAAAACATCTTATCCTACCCGGATTCACTCTACTAGCCTGTTTATCACTTAGAGATTTGTAGCTAAATTTTCAAGTGTTTCCCTCCTTAATTTCTAGATAAATTCCACTGCCATCCAAGGACACAATTAATATGACACCCATTCTCTGAAGTTCATGAAGATGTAGATTATGGACCAGAATATGCTCAGATTTGGTAAGTTATCCACAGGTTCAAAGAGGGCATGCTCTGAACTTGGATGATGTCCTGCGTAGCACTAAATCAAATTTGTTTAATAAATTCTCATATTTCATATGTCTTTGGTGATTTTTACTCTGTGGATCTGTCAGTTACTGAGAAACTCTCGAATTAGAATCATGTGTCTATTTCTAGCCCTGTCAGACAGTCTGTGGTATTCGGGAGGACAAGGCCACTTCTCCTGTCATTTGCTCCTTCCTACCATCCCTGAGCCTGGGCCTGGTCCCACTGCAGAATGGACACCGCTGTGAGCCTGGTTCCTGACAAAGAAGTAATGGGGAGACAGATGTCTGCTCCCTGGAAGAGAGTTTGTAGTTTTTTTCCTGTTCCTTCTCTAGCTTTGTCGGCTGTAACATTACTGTGGTGCCTAAGCCAGTCTCTAGCTTGTGAGTTTCCAAGATCCTCCCCCTCAGCTTCCTGCTTCACATGAACTGAGGAGTCTAATTTACTCAGACATCCATACCTAAGGCAGGGTAATAAAATAAGACAGTTGCAGCCAGGTGGTGGTGACACACACCTTTAATTCCAGCCCTCAGGAGTCAGAAACAGATGAATCTCTGTGAGTTTGAGGCCAGCTTGGTCTACAGAGCTAGTTCTGGGACAGTCAGGGCTACACACACACACACACACACACACACACACACACACACACACACCAATTGCTTATTATTAAAAATGGTATCCATGGCAAATAGACAATACGGAAGAGCCTAAGCATTGCTCAGGGATACAGAAGATGCTGTGAGATGCTTTTAATTTCATTAGCACTACACAGACCTTGGACTACAGATAGTCACACTCCCAAGGAAGGGAGACTACTGTGTGTAGCCCGAGCCCCTGTGCCATTTATGTTGGCACACAGGTACTATTCAGGATGGAGAAATGGGAAAAACCAAGGTCCGGCATCTACCTGGAAAACACAGTGCACCTGAAAAGATAACCATAATAAGTAAGTTAGAACATTAAAATGTATTGAGACAATGTGCAGCGTGCAGTAATAAAGTTGAAACAGTCATTTCACAGGAGTGGAGACCATAAAGCTCAAATCTCCACTAGGACAATGGACACAAGTCACAAACCCCCCCCCCACCTAAGACAAGGGGGTCCTGAAAAGGCACCTGCCTGGGGTCTTTATCCCGAAGCATCCTGTCCTCACAAGTCACCACCCTCCTTCCATCCTGCAGCATATGATGATGGATGAACTTCTCCATCCAACTCAAGGATCCTGAAGGAACCAAGGGGTTGCTTGAAAGAAGATCCCATCAGGGCACTCCCCAGCCGAACAGCAGCACAAACCATTCAAAAATGATGCTGCTTCAAGGCCTTTAGTAAGAAGGTGAAACCAAACAATAACATAGTCCCCCAGTGGAAAGTCATCCTCAAGATCCCAGATCCCATGGCTTACATGTCACATGGGACAATGATGTCATTCAGAATCACCCAGAATCGATCAGGAAGTCAGAGTAAGCAGATAAATTACATAGTCCCTAACCCCAAGACATGAACAAAGGAGGGATGATGGCCACTGGAGGAATTTTTGTTTCCTCAAATCCAGATGGTCTCTAAAGGCCCAGGTCCAAGACCGCAAGGAAGTCAGGTGGGCATCTGCAGCAGAGGGTTGCCATGGGCATGGGAGTTGGGCTCTGTCTGCCTAAGATGACCTCTTCTGTGTGATTTCTAGTAGATCAACCACATTCCAGCGGATGGCCCCACATCCAGAAATAGATGGGTAGCATAAATGGAATTAATTGCTTAATAAATATAGGACATGAAGTTGGAAATAAAGGTAGATCTGAGAAGTTAGGGGAGAACTGGAGAGAGACTATGATCCAAAGACATTGTAGAAAATTCTTAAAGAATTAATAGAAAATATTTCAAAATAAAAATTAAGTAATAAATAAGCAAATTAGGGGAGAAGATAGCCCCTACTGCTTCCAGTGAGGGAGCCCTGAGATGTTTGCCCACACCTTCCCTCCACCCTGTCTCAGGCTTTACTTTATTATCTTTTCATTCCCAAAAGATCAGTTTAACTATGGATGGTTTTATTATCTAACCTTCTTTTCTCCTGAGCCTTGTAGCAATGGGCAATTATCCATGTTTTCATCGTGTTTCTTACAAATTGTGCGGCCCATCTCCAAATCCATTAAGAAAATCATTGTCCATGTCTGCTAAAAGAAATTATGCAAATGTTATTTTTTATAGCATAAATACAAAACCAAGAAGAAAATCAAGTGGAAAATGGGCATTGCCTGGATATGCATGTGATTATAAACAGGCATCTATATCACGTTTATGGCACAAACCAACATCGTATGTCAAGAGAAATGTGCCTATGAGGGACCACATGTGCCAGTCTTCTTTCAGTACTTCCTGCTAAACTCTGGCACTCTATAGGCACATGGACATATACAGGGTAAGGCACATTCACAGGTCACAATCAAATCCTACACAACAAGCAACCTGCACACACTGCAGCCATACATGACAATGTGACAACTCTCATTCACCTGAACAGCATGGGCCAGACTAAGAAATATGATAAAATCAGATTAAGAAATGGGGTCTGTTCATGAAGGGGTAATGCTCTGCACGTGGACTCACCTTTTTCTGGGCTCTCCCAACTTCCAGCAACCTGTATGCATTCTCTTCTGGGTTGTTGTCATTAAACTGAGACACAGCAAACTCCACTGACGCCACAAAATAGTGTAGATCCTTAGTAATGTCTACGAATTCTTTGTCGATGGTCCATAAATGAGTGCCTAGCACAATCAGTTCTACAAGCAGGGGCACCTTCCACACCATAGCTGTCCTCTGCATCAGCCTAGGGATTGGGGACACACGGGTAAAGGGATGGAACAACCACAGTTGGTAACGCCCTTCTCAGCTCAGGATCCCTCATAGCCCTGCCCATTAGGGCCCTGTGCTCCTGAATGCCTTCTTTTGTGTTTCT